CTACTCCTCTTCAAGAAGGTCATGAGCTGATACGTCTTTGGAGGTTGTTCTAGACTGAGTTATTTTTTTATTTAAAAAAACTCTTTCTGAGAGCAGAGATACATTTCATATCTATGATATTTATTTACAGGAGTGAAAATGCCTTATTGCTTCTGCAGAGGAGTGTGCTGAATATGCTACTAGTGACTGGGGCAGTGGAACAGAGCCAGTCTTCTGCCATTGGCATCACTGCAGCTCACCTGGATTGTGTTGGGGTTCTGCATTTGCATCTGCTGGAGTGGTTGATTGACGCCATTGGTGCATCTGCCAGCCCTGACCTCACCAATGCCTTTCTTCTCCATGCCATGTTGTTGTTTAGTCGTTTAGTTGTGTCTGACTCTTCGTGACCCCATGGACCAGAGCATGCCAGGCACTTCTGTCTTCCACTGCCTCCCGCAGTTTGGTCAAACTCATGCTGGTAGCTTTGAGAACACTGTCCAACCATCTCGTCCTCTGTCGTCCCCTTCTCCTTGTGTCTTTCCCAACATCAGGGTCTTTTCCAGGGAGTCTTCTCTTCTCATGAGGTGGCCTAAGTATTGGAGCCTCAGCTTCAGGATCTGTCCTTCCAGTGAGCACTCAGGGCTCATTTCCTTAAGAATGGATAGGTTTGATCTTCTTGCAGTCCATGGGACTCTCAAGAGTCTCCTCCAGCACCATAATTCAAAAGCATCAATTCTTCGGTGATCAGCCTTCTTTATGGTCCAGCTCTCACTTCCATACATCACTACTGGGAAAACCATAATTTTTACCATGCCATAACCTCCTCCAATTAAGTTGCAGTGACGCAGATGTCAGGAGGGCGGTGCTATGCCCCCACCCGCTCACTATTGGCTGCTGATAGCAGGTTTCCAAACAGGTTATTTTGCATCCACAACAAATATGGGAAGTGGGATTTAAGAAAGCGATGCCCTGTTGTGAAATATGTTGGACACATCTGTACAGAATGGGGAATAATGTCAGCTAAACCAGTGCTGCGCCACCAATCATATTTAGCTCCATGAATATTTCATTGAGAGTAGATGAAGTCAACTGAGAATGAAGGCAATGATTTCTATATCATCACATGATACTTCCCAGCCAATCAGGAATCACACACAGAGTGTGATGTCACTGAGACCAAAGAAGCCAATTCAGCTTTATAAATATGCTTTACAGCTTAAAAATAGGGTGCTGCATAGGCCCATCCTCACCAATGACACATGACTTTATGAGGCTACTTTATGTGACCTACAGAAGGCTTATGTGATCCACATAAGGCTGCAAAAGAGTACTGAACCTTCTGTCTATTTTATTCCAAATACAATAATGTGCTCCAAACATTGTGTGTGTGTGTGTGTGTGTGTGTGTGTTTCTTTATTGTTTGTATGTTGGCTGGATGGTTTGTGTGTTGTTTTAAAAAATTAAAAAAAACCTGTCATGTAAATATCATTCAATCTATTCAATAAGAATTTCATGTCCTTGCAAAGAAAATGTAGGTAGCTTCTTACAGATAGAGAAGACATTTAAAAACAATAATAACAGGGAACATTTTGCACATCCTAACCAGGAAATTATCTGACCTTGGGGGTTTATATTCTGGTAAGCATTCAAACTGGTACTGATTTCTTTGTTTGCCTTGTTGTCACCAGCTCTGAGCCTCAGCCTAAGATGAAGATAATTCCGAATGAAGAAATAGAAAAGGAATGCACAACAAGTGAGGAGAGTATGCTGACATTTTGTCATAGAAAATATTTGCCACTCTGAGTCTTGTTTACTTCAATCCCATTTATTTGTTGGTGGATCGCCATTCCGACGCTCCCCTCCACATGTGCGCAAATGCCAGCGAACAGGTGTCTGTCAAGAGTGAATGACGTACACCCAAGTCCTTATTAAAGTGCACAGTCTGCAACACATTGCAGAAACAGATGAAGTGCAATGACCCTGCAGCAACTTGGAGAAAAATTAATACACAGGGAAAACTCCTATCACAGCACAGCTGGTTTCCCTGTGTTGCTACAGAAAGGTCAAGTCCCTCTGCCTTGTAGGTCTAAGCCAAGATATTCCTTCTGCCAGTAAAAAGGGCTCGGGTCCTCTTAGCGCTCGTGTACATTGTTGCTATAAATTCTCTCCTAGGAGTCCCCACTTCCGCTGCCAGCCACATTTATTTTTGCAAACCGACACAGAAGTTCATTTTGAGCAGCTTGGTCAGTGACAGGGGAAGAGGGAAGAAACAGAGGCAATATTGGAAAATACATTATAGCAGACTTCCCCAATGATTCCCATCAGCCCCAGTTAGAACCTGGTTGGGGAAGGGTGATATGCAGAGTGGGCATGGATGCCTGCAGAAATCATTCTAGGGGAGGGCAAGAGCAAGGATGTGACTTTTGCAGTCTTTGTATGACTGAACCCCTCACACAGTGCTGAAGAGAAGCAATGAGAAACAATGGGGATTTACTTTATTGTATGGGATTATACATTTCAGAATTAATTTCTCACCAATTGCTTTATTTGTTCATTTAACAGTAACAGGAAAAGGCGCTAGAAAGACATGCAGTTTTAATGCGTCCTTTGAGCACCAAGACCATAGGACTCTAAACCAAAGTTCAAAAATTGCTTTGCAAACTTCTCAGTGTTAGGGGAAATTGCAGGCAGAAATGCTACATTGGGATAATTTTTCACTAAAATGCTGATGAAGTTTCATGGGAATTTTTTTTTCCTGATTTGCAAAATGATGTGGAAATGTAGAGTTTGGAAAAATGAGTAACTGAAATTGACAGATTTGACTACCACCACCTTCAGCGCAACATATAACGAATATGAAGCAATCTAACCCTCTTTTCTGCCTTCCTTCTTGTCTGAAAAAAAGGGGGAAATACCAGTCTTGTTTGAGACTGTAGGCAGCTAGTTATATATTAGAAAAGGAATGTTAAAGACACAAAGCAGCAGGATAAGAAACCATTTTGACAATAAGGAGTTGATGAAGGAGGGGAGATGACACCACACTGCATTTATGCTGCTGTAAAATAAATAAATAATTTAAAATTCTATGCCCCGGCTACCAAATTCCTGTGCCAATAAAAGTTAATTGCTTATTTTGCATAGATCATGCCAACCGAGGACATTTGATGCAATGTGCGTAATTTCTTTAGGTTTGCATCTTTTATTCTGCACTTACTGCTTTGCCTCATTGTTTTGGCTTTGCTCATCATCAGGTTGGGCGTAACTTCAAGGGCCATCTAGTCTGACCCCCTGCCAATGTAGAAAATCTACAAATTCAGCATCCCTGCCAGGTGGCTATCCTGCTACTGTTTAAACATCTCTAACAAAGAACAGCCCCCACTTTCTGAGGCAGTCTGTTCCATTGTGGAACATCTCCTTCTGCCCTGAAATTCTTCCTCAAGTTTAGCTGAAATCCCATCTCTTGTCATTTGAGCCAGTTGCTCATTTGAACCCCGGAAAAGGAGCAGAGCAATACATGCTGCATGTTCAAAAGCTGCCCTGTAATTCTGGCCCTGCCTGCACTGTACATCTAAAACAGAATCATGCCACTTTAAACAGTCATGGCTTCCCCCAAATATGGAAAACGTAATTTATTAAGAGTGTTATGAGTTTTTGGGAGACCCTTATTCCCCTCAAGGAGCTTCAGTTCCCTGAGTGGTTTAACAGTCAATCGCTCTTTCCAGGGAACTCTGAGAATTAAAGCTCTGTGAGGGGAATAGGTAAAGGAAAGGGACCCCTGACCATTAGGTCCAGTTGTGGCCAACTCTGGGGTTGCGGCACTCATCTGACTTTATTGGCTGAGGGAGCCGGCATACAGCTTTCGTGTCATGTGGCCAGCATGACTAAGCCGCTTCTGGCGAACCAGAGCAGCGCACGGAAACACCATTTACCTTCCCGCCAGAGCGGTACCTATTTATCTACTTGCACTTTGATGTGCTTTCGAACTGCTAGGTTGGCAGGAGCAGGGACCGAGCAACGGGAGCTCACCCCATCGCGGGGATTCAAACCGCCGACCTTCTGATCAGCAAGTCCTAGGCTCTGTGGTTTAACCCACAGTACCACCCGTGTCCCGTGAGGGGAATAGGGGTCTCCTAAAAATTCATAGCACCCTCAAGAAACTACAGTTCACAAGATTCTTTGAAGAAAGTCTTCAGATGTACGAGGCAGCACTATGATCCCAGTTTGGCTGGGGTACTTCTTTATAACTTACTCATCAGAAAAGCTAGTGTAGCCTAGGCAGAAGTTAATCTTGGACTTCTTGCTTGGAGGAATCTGTCACAGTAGCTTGAATAGTAGCAGATAGCTAATTATAGGTGAGTATACTCATTTAGGGAAAGTTCTTTAGTCATGCAGATATGATAGCTGCTACCTTTTTTTAACCTGGTGAGAAAGGAGAGGAGGTAGAAGAAGCTTCTGCTAATATAAGTGTGTGTGCGCACATGCGTGTCAACCAAGCCCTCTAACTCAGGGGTATGGAAGCAAATGTGGCCCTTCAGCTTTTTCTATGTGGCCCTTTGGACTCTCCACAGGCTAGGGCCTCCTCCTCAGGCCACATCCCTAATTGGCTTTGCTTCACATCTTGACCATTTTAACCTGCTTGGAATGTGGCATTGAACTCTCATGATAATGCTTGCCTGATTGGATAGAGAGGGGTGTTCCAGTGTTTGTAGAAACTAGCTGCCTGTGAAAAGGTAAAATCTGTTGCCCTCGGAAAGTTGCCCAGAACGGAAAGTGGCCTTTGGGTCGGAAAACATTCCTCACCTCTGGTTTAACAGAATTGCAATAATTGCCCTTTTGTTGGCAAACATCTACACTAGTATATAATAATAATAATGGCAGAATTGGTATTGGAAAATGGAGGATGATACTACAGCCCATTCCTAATGCACTCAGTGTTAATAGAATTATTTAATTCCATGTGGAAGCTCTGAACAGGACCTATACCTCAGTTATGTATAAGGACAGGCATAGGCAATCTCGGCCCTCCAGATGTTTTGAGACTACAACTCCCATCAGCCCTAGCTAACAGGACCAGTGGTCAGGGATGATGGGAATTGTAGTCTCAAAACATCTGGAGGGCCGAGGTTGAGGAAGCCTGTTCTATGGAACCAGTTGGCAAATCATGGATAGGTGTTGTTACATGAGTGCAAGATTAGTTTTAGCCACTGAATCCTCAAGCCCCTCTTTTGTTTTTTACTTGGAGAGATAACATCAGTTGACAAGATAATCCTGTACAGTACATGTCTGCTCAGATGTATGCTCCCCTGAGTCTAGTAGGGCTTACACCCTGGTAAATGGAAACTGGATTGTATCCTGCATGAGGCTGGCTAGGCTAATAACTTCTTTAACACAGTGCTATCAACCCCAACTCAGCTGTATAATTTGATCCAAATCTATGACCAAGCCACCCTCACCATATAAACACGCAGATGGCTGGATTCCACTCCCACCCTAACCCAGGTATCTCTTCAGTTATTTGTGAATTGGGGACAGGAGGGTAGGATTTAAGATTCTGCATCTTCTTGAGCTAACACACATAGAAGTCAGAGGTGCAATAAACCCCAAACAAAGCCAGTCACAGGCCAGTAATGGTGGAATGCTGCTTTTTTGAAGAAGGAAAAAAAAAGCAGTTAGAATCACAGAACTGTAGAGTTGGAAGGGACCCAATGGGTCATATAGTCCAACCCCATACAATGCAAGAATACACAGCTAAAGTATCCCCGACAGGTGGTCATCCAAACTCTGTTTAAGAACATCCAATGAAGGATATATTGTTTATATTTGTGCTAGTCCCGAGGGTTAACCGTGCGGCGAGGTCCGAATCCAGTCCAAGGTCAAGGGTACGGTATGGAGGCAGCCCGTCAAAGCTGAAGCGGGTTCAAGGCAGGGAGTCGGGTGAGGTCAGGAACTCTGGCAGAAGAGCAGGACAGGGTGCAGGCAGGAACAGGCTGCCAACAATGTTGCTCCCGCAACCTGGGACTGGGGCTGGTTGGCTTTTATCTGCCCCGAGGCATAGGGCGGCCCCGGTCCACAGGTAACTCGCCTCTCCTGGCCTGGAGGCGAGCACTCCTCCTGCGGGAACTTAGTTCCCTCTGCCTCTCTGCCCTGAGCCTCTGCAGCTCAGGAGAGGCTGGAGGGTTACTGGACCCAGAGGCAACCTCAGCCTCCCCTGATGGGGCTGAGAGTGGAGCACCTGCAGGCAATGGGTCCTCCATCACCTCAGGAGCCAGAGCAGACTCAGCTGGTGCCTGCAACCGAGGGTCCAGCACAGGTGAGGACCCTTCAGGCTCAAGCCCCAGCCCCGGCTCAGCTGGTTCTCAAGGTGGGGACTCCTGTGCAGGCTGGGATTCCTCAGGTTCAGCCTCCAAGTCTGAATCCCAGGCCATCACAATATTGAACGCCCATCTCACAGAGACTAAATCACAGATACTAAACTCATGAGCATCATCCAAACCAATACCCCAATCCTATAACATTATTGTTTTCATCTTTTCCTGACTGCTCAATAGCTTTTATCTGAACTGATTAACCTACATACTGAAGGTGCAAACATTTTCTTAATAAATAGATGAAAGTTATATGTGCATAATGATACCATCATTCTGTAATTGCAAACAAGCTGGTAGAGGGAATTTACAACAGCTGGGCCTGAAGAGAAGTTGAATGGGGGGGATGTCAAAGGGCCCCAGGAGAACATTTCTTTTTCTCGAATTGTTATCCATGATCATGTTGCCTCTGTCGATGGTACTTTTTGCATATGCAAATAAGACCATCCTCCCTGCTATTACATGGCAATCAGAGGCAAATTACATTCTTGCTGTTTACTTTCAGTGTGTCCTTAATTAATCCGGTTATTACACAATTAATGAAGCTTGTTTGGTGAGAAACAGTGTTTGGGGAGAGGGAGACCTGTACATCTGCCTGTTTGTGGTGATGCCCAGAAAACATGCTAGGAATCAGCAGCGGTTGGTGGGGTGGTGAAGGCAGAGTGAAGTTCTGCACCTGGATTCCCAAAAGTGAGAGTCCTTGGCAAGAGACAGAGGGTGAGAGGTATCCCTTCACCAGGGCCGTCTTTACCTGGGGGTGCAAGGGGTGCGGGGCACCCAGGCATCGAATTCTAGGGGACTCAAGGCACCCGCCACTGAAGCTGCCTAAGCTCTTAACTATCTACCTGTTATGAAATTTTTTTGATTAAGCTAGAAAAACAAAATACATATATACCTAAGTATTACTGAAATGTATACCTACTGTTTCACTAAAGGACTTTCGACTTTGTGCACTCATTTACCAAAGACACGCTGCACCAGCGGTGGTACTTGTCATTCACAAAGGGACTTGTGAATCACTTACTGCTCTAATTTGTTTAGAGAAATTGTTAAAAAAATAATGATTATTTTCGCTAATTGTCTGCATTTTCTTTGACTAACAACTTAGTACTTAGGGCTCTACCACACATGCATTTCAGCATGCAATTTTGGGGGTGCTCAGATTCCATCACTGACTTCTGCTGCAATCTGATTTGGAGTCAAGAACTAGGTTTTACTAGAAATTTTCCAGATTTCCATCAGGCGTTTGAACCACATCTGACTGTATGGAAGCGGCCTATTCCAAAACCCCTTTGCCAGATCCTTGCAAAAGTCAAATAGTAAAGGCTTCAAGCTTTTTGTTGCACACTGAAAATGGGCATCCTTCCAGCTAGCTTTGGGAGCTGTGCATGATTTCACTAAGAAATAGACATTTTTTCCTGCACCTTTCTACATGAAACTTAAGCTTGGGTGCGTGTATCCATGCCTTAAAAGCCACAGCAGTGGAAGCAACATTTAGAAGCTCCAAGGCTGAATTTCCAAAGTGTTTGGCTGTGGTCCTCAAAAAAAGATAATTGATACAGCACTGGTGAAGATATTTATGTATCAAAGGATGTGTGTTCCTCTGTACACAGCTATGACCAGTTTATGCAAGCATGAGCAGGTTGTAAAGACTTGCACCTGGAATTATTCAGTTTAGCTTGGCCATGGGCTAATCAGTCAAATAATCAAAATGATAATAATTCCATAAAACCATTTTCTCCATCAGCACATCCATCAAGCTTCTCCCCATGTGGAGCCCTGTCGTATAGTGCATGCTGATGTAGACACCAAGATCCATTTCACACATTGGCCAAATATGTGGAGGAGGTGTGGCTGCAAGGGGCAGGGCTGGGCCAGCTGTGAAATAACTCTCATACCTTCTTTCACCGTGTGGGAGCCATACAACCTCCCTCCTCAAAGCCTTTCACATGAGGCTCCTGGGTTAATCTTTGAGGTGTTCAGCAGGGTGCTGGGTGGTCTCAAGAATTGCCCCTTCCTGGAGGCTCCTGCCCCAGTAGCTCAGTCCTGATGCAAATGCTCCCTCTTCCTGCTTCGCTCTCCTCTGCTCCCTGTAGCAGTGGATTAGCAGTTGCTTACATGGATACACTTTCAGGAGAAGAGCTTTATCTTGTTACAGAGCAGGGAACTAAATAATTGCTTTTATATCTGGCTGTATACTTCCTGATGCATTAGACCTGCATTCATGAGCAGCTGGGTTATTCTGGGGCAACTGCACCTTCTTCTGGGAAGTGTGGCTGCCGCCTGCAGTTTCAGGCATCCTTCTAGGCTTTCCTTACCATACCAACACCTCATTTAAACCTGTGATGAACAGGATAGAGCTGAACCATTCATGAGGCTCTTGTGCTTGTTTCTGCTCTTGCATTTTGTCCTGGGCTTATCCAAGACGTTACTGGGGCTGAATTCAGCAAGTCACACACACACACATATTTTAACAAAGAAGCTTCAATCTTATACATGTTTCAGGTTGCAATTCGATATGCACTTAACGTGGAAATAAGCCCCATTGCATTCAGTAGGACTTACCTCCGAGCTAGTATAATGCCAGTGCGCAGATGTCATAAATCAAGGTAGGCAAATTAGATGTATGTTACCATACCAACAATCATGGTTGCCAGTTAAACCCAGATAAAGCATATGCAGCTTTAAATTCTTTGGTATTGGGAGAAGAGGCACCTCTACAAGCTTCTTCCCCAACATCTGGCGGGGGGCAGGGAGACAGAATTAAAACTGCTATGCTCCCAGACCCCCCAAGTGTTCCTATTTTGCAGGGACATCCCTGATTTAGAGAAACTGTCCCGGTTACTGATTTGATCCCAGAATGTCCCACTTTTCCTTAGGATGTTCCTATTTTCATTGGAGAAATCTTGGAGGGTATGGAGTTATCTGACCCCCCGAGCCATCTGAAGGCAATCCTGTATAGAGAAGTTTTCTAATGTTTCCTGTTTTATTGTGTTTTTATATATGTTGGAAGCTGCCCAGAATGGCTGGGTCAACCTAGTAAGATGTGTGGGGTATGGAATGGGCTGTCCCTATTTTCATCGGAGAAATGTGGGAGGGTATGTACTCCTAGGATTGTCATAGCTATCACTCTGCTAGACTTGAAGGTGAGAAAACTACGTACACACGTGCCTGCAGTGTGCCTGGGTTGGAGAGTGATATCAATAAGTAGTTTTCCTAGCTAGTTTGTACAAATGTATTCCAGTGGACAGTTGTGCTTTGGAGATACAAAGGCCTCTGCGCCAGTCCTAATTTATACATCTTAAACATCTGAGGTGACCACCAGCAAGGGAGAAGCAGCCTGTCTTTGCATAAGAATTAGGAGCATTTCTACTTGCAGCTGGCTTCAACTGCAGTTGATATTAAAGTGACAGAGATGTAAAAAATAAGTTTATTTTATGTCTCCCCTACCTAATCATCAAAAGCCTTGGGGGCTTATAAAGAATCCTGCACTGTGTTTTGAAGCCCAGGTGATCAAATGATACTTCAGAAGCCTAGCATCTGCCCCCACTGATGGGGTGATTGGTATGACTCCAGCAACTCCTTTTTGCCCAGCCACCTTTTTACCTGCCTACATCCACCATCATGCTTGACACCAGGTGACTGGCAGGTGAATGCAGCTTGGACAAAATGACCTGATGTGCCAAAGGTACAGGCCTAATTAGGCCCATGGGCTGAAGGTTCCCCACCCCAGAATCAATGCTTTCTGCTCC